TGTGCATCAACAGATAAATAACAAACACATTGTTTTATATCTATATAATGTAATAGTACTACTCAGCAATACAAAGAAATAAACCATTGATTCAAATGACACCATGGAAGAATCTCAAAATAATTATGCTAAGTGAAAGAAGATAAACCAAAAAAGTGTACATAATTTAATTTTTATAAATTATAAAATACACAAACTAATATATAGTGACAGAGAATTGCTTGGAAATGGGCATGGGAGATAGGAAGGTTAAGAGAAAAAGCACAAAGAAACATGAGAAACTTTTGGGGTGATGTAAATATTCATCATGTTGATTGTGATAACAGCATCATAAGTCCGTATGTATGTCAAATCTTATAAAAATGTTCACTTTACTTTGGTGCAGTTAATTTTTATGTAAATTATACATCAATAAAACCATTAAAAAATTCAAATTTAAAAGTACATGTCTTCAACATCACAGAAGTCTTCTGATATGGTCCAAAATGCAAACTATTCTCACTGGGTTTAAACTATTTTTCTTAAGTATAGATAACAGTTTTCACCCATGTGCTCTACTGTTTATTTTCAACCCAGCATCATTCCAGCTTATTTTGCATTCCCCTTTGTATATCAGAATAGAAATTTATAGCTGATTTTTCAGAATTCATTTTCAACATAGTTCTAGGCTTGTTTCTGATGAAGTGATTGGGAAGGTGGAGGAGAAGGAGAAGAGATTTGCAAACCCAAACAATATCTGGGCCTGAATTTCTTATTCAAGTCTGTATCTGAGAAACTATTCATATGCTGACTCTGGATGCATTCTTTATCTGAATCTGGGGAGAGTGAACTCCAGGAAACAGAATGAACTAAATGTCTGTTCTTAGCTATGTGTCTAGGTATAAATGTTTACAGGTCCTTGCAGAAGGTTGGGTCCTTCTCCGAAATTTTATTCTGTTAACACTTCTGAAGGTTTTTTCTTTCCTTTTTCATTTTATTTTTAGATTTACAGGTGGAGGTTTGTAACAAGGGTATATTGAGTAATGCTGGGTTTGGGCTTCTAGTTGGTCACCCAGATAGTGAACATAGTACACAACAGGAAGTCACCTAGATAGTGAACATAGTATGTTTTTCAGCTCTTCCCCCTCCCTCTCTCCCTCCTTTTGGAGTCCACAATGTCTGTTATTCCCATCTTTATGTCTGTGTGTACTCACAATCTGGCTTCCACTTATAATGAGAACATATGATATTTTGTTTTTTGTTTCTGCACTAATTTGCTTAAGATCATGACCTCTAGCTGCATACAAGTTTCTGCAAAGGATATAATTTCATTCATTTTATGGCTGCATAGTATCCCATGGTGTATATGTACCACATTTTCTATAGTCTATCCACAATTGATGGGCACCTAGGTTGTTTCCATGTCTTTGCTATTGTAAATAGTGCTGTGATAAACGTATGAGTGCATGTGTCTTTTTGGTAGAATGATTTATATTCCTTTGGATATATAGCCAGGTATGGGATCGCTGACTTGAACCATAAATGTTTTTATTTGTTTTCTGAGAAATCTCCACACTGCTTTCCACAGGGGCTGAACTAATTTGCATTCCCAACAACAGTGTATAAGTATTCCATTTTTCCTGCAAACTTGCCAGCACCTGTTATTTTTTGAATTTTAATAATAGCTATTCTGACTGGTATGAGATGGTATCTCATTGTGATTTCGATTTGCATTTTTTTGATGATTAGTGATATGAAAGAATTTTTAACATGTTTGTCAGCCACTTGTATGTCTTCTGCTGAGAGGTGTCTGTTCAAATTCTTTGCCCACTGTTTAATGAAGTTATTTGTTCATTTCCTGTTGATTTGTTAAAGTTCACTATAGATTCTGGATACTAGTCCTCTGTAGGATGTATAGTTTGCAAATAATTTCTCCCATTTTATAAGTTGTCTTCTAACTATGTTGATAGTTTCTTTTGCTGTGTGGAAGCCTTTTAGATTAAATAAGTCCCGCTTGCCAATTTTTGTTTTTGTTGCAATTGCTTTTGAGAATTTAGCCAAAAATTGTTTGCCTAGGCTGATATCCAGAAGTGTGTTTCTTAGGTTTTCTTCTAGGATTTCTATGAGGTGTTACATTTAAGCCTTCAATCTCTCTTGAATTAATTTTTGTATGTGGTGACCGACAGAGGTCCAGTTTTATTCATCTGCATATTTCTAGGCAGTTATCCCAGCACCATTTGTTGAATAAGTCCTTTCGCCATTGCATATTTCTGTTGGCTTTGTCAAAGATCAGATGATCATAGGTGTATGGCTTTATTTCTTGGTTCTCTATTCTGTTCCGTGGGTCTTTGTGTTCATTTCTGTACCATTACTAAGGCCAAGTTTTAGTTACCTAGCCTTGTACTACAATTTGAAGTTGGGTACTGTGATGTCTCTAGTTTTGTTCTTTCTTTTTTTAAGGATTGCTTTGGCTATTCAGGCTCTTTTTTTGTTCCAGATGAATTTTAGAATGTTTCTGCTAATTCTGTGAAAAATGACATTGACAATTTGATAGGAATAGTGTTGAATTTGTAGATTGCTTTGGGCAATATGGACATTTTGATGACATTGATTCTTCCAATCCATAAGCATGGAATGTTTTTCCATTTGTTTGTGTGCTCTATGATTTCTTTCAGCTGTGTTTATAGTTCTTCTTGTATAAATCTTTCACCTCATTGGTTAGTTGTATTCTGAGGTATTTTGGGGCATGTGGCTATTGTAAATTGGATTGCATTCTTGAAGTAGCTCTCAGTATGATCACTATTGTTTTATAGAAATGCTCCCAATTTTTTAATGTTGACTTTGTATCTTGAAACTTCCCTGAAGTCATTTATTAGTTCTGGAGACTTTTGGTGGAGTCTTCGGTGTTTTCTAGGTATAGAATTATATTGTTAGTGAAAAGAGATAATGTAACTTCTTTTCCTATTTGGAGGCCTTTCACTTCTTTCTTTTGCCTGCTTGCTCTGGGTAGGACTTCTAGTACTATGTTGAATGGGAGTACTGAGAGTAGGCATTCTTGTCTTCTTCCCGTTCTCAAGGTGAATGCTTCCAGCTTTTGCCCATTAAGCATGATGTTGGCTATGGGTTTGTCATAGGTCACTCTTATTATTTTGAGGTATATTCCTTCAATACTTAGTTTGTTGAGGGTTTTTATCATGAAGAATTATTGGATTTTATAGAACGTTTTTTCTGTATCTATTGAGATGATCACATGAGTTTTGGTTTTAATTCTGCTTGTGTGGTGAATCACATTTATTGATTTGTGTATGTTGAAACAACCTTGGATCCCAGGAATGAAGCCTACTTGATCCCAGGAATGAAGATGAGCTTTTTGATGTGCTGCTGGATTCAGGATGCTAGTTTTTGTTGATAATTTTTGTGTCTATGTGCATCAGTGATTTGACCTTTGGTTTTCTTTTATCATTGTGTCTTTACCAGATTTTGGTATCAGGATAATACTGAATTTGTAGAACCATTTAGGGAAGAATCTCTCCTTGATTTTTTGGAATAGTTTCAGCATGATTGGTATCAGTTCTTCGTACGTCTGGTAGAATTTGGCTGTGAATCCATCAGGTATGGGGCTTTTTTATTGGTACATTTTTTATTACTGATAAGCTGCACTTCACTAAAATTTAAAAGTTACGCTCTTATGAAATGCGATGTCAAGAAAATGGGAGACAAAACACAAACTGAGTAATCCATTGCACTTGAACAAATCTTTCCTGATATTTTAGTTTCTCTCACGTAAGAGGCATATTTCAGCTGCGTTTAGTCTGCCATCTTACCAGAAAAGGTTTTTGTTTTCTTTTGTTATGTTATAAAATGAAAACTCATAGGAAGGAAGCATAATGAAGTGTTTGTTTTTGCTGCAGACACTTCATAGGAAAAGACCAGCTTTAACAATCTGTGTAATCATAGGGACTTCTTTTGTGATGACCTCAGAGTGTTATCTCTGATAGTTGATAGCCATCTTGGTATAGGACAGTGTTCACAAACAAAATCTTGCAAACAACTATCAGGCAGGCAGCAACAAAACCACCAGGGAAGTTTTTAAAAAATGAAACCCTTTGAATCTTGGAAATTGTGGTTTGAAATCTTGGAAGTTGTGATTCCTAAAGTTAGTGGTTTTGTCCCAACATCTTTAATTTTAAATGACTCACGAGTTAATTCATTTCTCACATAACCAGGTTTTAGAACCTCAATTATCAGCTGATGTGTCTTTATCAATTTGTAAAGCAAGAGAAGAGGAAAGTTCTAACTCATGCTTCAGTCTATTGATGCAAATCTACATGTGGGTTCCCTACATCACCAGAGGAAATTATTTGATTAAACTTTGGCAACAAAATGTTGCATATGACCACAGTAGAAAGCGTCCTTGAGGCCAGATCTCCATGAGTATAGTGTTAACACTTGTTGCCTGCCTGTTATAAGCAAGCAATTTATCTTGGAGTCATTGAAATTGTGAGGGAATAAGCTATTAATCTGAGGTCATATCTTATCAGTAAATGTCAGTCACTGCTCTACATGTTAGGATACAGTGCTGAAAAACAAAGACTTAGTAACAGCAAGACTTCTTAACACTCTCTCTGATTTCAACTCAAAACCCTTGTCTGACATCCCATTGAGTTATACCACTGGCCTGCAATGGATACATGAAAGTATTGGCCTGTATTAAAATATCCAAGAAAATGGAAATCTCACCTACAGAAATACCCTAGGATGCTCTGCTAAAGATCTTTTATGTCAGATAGTGTCCAAAGAACAAAATTGATAAAATAGACCATAGAGATGATAACATCTGCCCTTCATATTTACAAGGACCACCTGAGACTGGCATGGGCCTTATAAATGAGGTCAGGGTTGAGGACCTATTTCGGACTTTTGGAAGGAGTCCAGGAAAACATTCATCCCAGTTCAGCCCCTGTCCACCAGAGGGAGTGGCTGCCTAACACAAGCTCATTTCCTGCTTTCGCTGTAGGTTTCACTGTGATTTCTTCATGTTAAGGATCAAGATCATTATTTGGGTAACACACTAAAGATGAACTGTTCTCCAGGCTTAGTATCTGTGATACTCTTACTGCTTGGTAAGTAAGATGCCTTTTAAAATTTGGACTCTGTCTTCTATCAAGCCAAAAAAAATCTTTAACCACAATTTGACCTAAGAGCATTATGCTCAAGGCTAAACATATCTCTCTATGTCTCTCTCTCTCTCTTTTTCCCCTAGGAAGAACGCGTGGAGATTCAGTGACCCAGATGGAAGGGCCAGTGACTCTCTCAGAAAGGGCCTTCCTGACTATAAACTGCACGTACACAGCCACAGGATATCCTTCCCTTTTCTGGTATGTCCAATATCCTGGAGAAGGTCCACAACTCCTCCTGAAAGCCGTGAAGACTGATGAGAAGGGAAGCAACAAAGGTTTTGAAGCCACATACCGTAAAGAAACCACTTCTTTCCACTTGAAGAAAGACTCAGTTCAAGAGTCAGATTCAGCTGTGTACTTCTGTGCTCTGAGTGACACAGTGACAGGGACTGCAAGGGGAGCTGAGCACAAACTCTGAGCAGCACGAGGGGCCCGGGTGCTGAGTGTCAGCCACTGTGATCCACTCTGGTTCCAGCACAGTCTGTGGTTGTTTGTGCCTCAGTTTCTCTGATTAATGCAGTAATCATACGCATGGCTAGAGGAGAAAAACAAGAAACGGACATCCCCAAACCCAGCTTTTGGTTAGTGAAATTAGAAACAGACATTGACACCAAGTAGTTCCTCATCCAGTGCCAAAGTAATTTCAAGGTTAAACCACAGAAACAATGAAGCGGTCCCTGTGCTCATCCTTGCAGACAAAGTTCAACCTCCACCTCTTGTTCCAGGTCACTCTGGCAGATATTGGAGGTAGATGTGTTCTATTACATTTTTACACAGCCAAATGTGCCAGAGAAGGTGGCATCTCTATAATGTCTCTCTAACAGAGTACAGCAGGACAGATGACAGGAGAGCTACAGCTCCTCAGTTCAGTTCAAATGTCTATGCCGGATTCCTAATAGAGAAAGAAGGGAAGAGAAGAGAGGAGGAGGGACAGAGTGCCCCCCATGTAACAAAACAATGCAGAGACGAAAGCCACCACTGTCAGAAAGAGGAAGGCTTCTTTTCTGGTAAACCAGATGGTAGACAAAGTCTCATGTTCCAAAAAGAAGGGAAGGATCAAAAGCATTATTGAAGAAATGACTCATTTGTACATCATAAGGATTCTTTACTTGTTTCATTGATCAATAGGCTCTCTAACAACAAGTCCTTAAGTGAGTTAGTTTTGCAGTGCCGATGGAAGATTAAGCATACAGATTTATATTTGTATCCCTGTGAAATCCTATTAAAGACACACTAAAGAAATTGAAAAGGGCATAAGACTACAAAAAGAATAGAAAAGGAGGTGACAGCAGACAGTGATATCAATAAAATTTTAGAAGGCAAGAGCGTATGGAGAAGTGAAAACTTGCATAGAAGACCAGATAAAGAAGAATCATGGGCCTAGTGAAAGAAGACTACAAGGAATACCCAGTGTGTGTTAAGCCTTGGTTAAAAGGTTTAGAAATCAAAAGTACCAATGACCTTTGAATAATTGGTAAAGACAATGCTTTGTGTATGTGTTTCTACTTTGAGGGTATTTGAAAAGAGGGTATGAAAAGAGGAGAAGAAAGTGAGAAAATGTATAATTAATAGACCACCTATGCTCTCCACCACTATCTGTTTAACAAGCGATGATCACTTCCCAAACCCAGAAGAAAATTGGAATTTAATATTTCATTAATTGAAGTGCAGAACATAATAACACAAGAAAGCAGAATAAAATTACAGTGTTAAAATATCATAGTCAATTATTTAATATAAGAAATATAAAATATTGTTTATGAAATATTCTCATAGTAGTCTATGTGTTTCAACCCAATTGTCTTCTAGATAAGTTTCACTAATTTATACTACCCGTAGTGGTGATTTGGCAGAATACCTATTTTCCTTAAACCTTATGTATTACTAAACTTTTTGACATTGACTCATCAGTTAGAATTTCGTTTAAAGAATATTTCATTTACTTATGAATGAGATGGAGCTTCATTTAATATATTTAAAAGCTATTTACATTTTTTGATATATTGCCATTCATATTCGTATTGCCCCCCTTTTTTTTGGTTTACCATTTATTGTCATTATTTCCCACATCTACCATTGTTCCAACTATTATATATTGGCAAACCCTCACCCTTTGAAAAATTATTTATTTTTTAAGAGCAGTTTTAGTTTATAGCAAGATCTAGAGAAGGGTACAGAGATTTACCACATGCCCTCTATCCCTTCCCAGGTATATGTCGTCTCCCATTATCAACATTCACCACCACAGTGGTGCATTTGTTACAACTGATGCACTTACACTGACACATCATAGTCACTCAAAGTTCATAGTCTACATTAGGGTTCACACTTAGTGTGGCATAATATATAGATTTGGACAAATGTGTAATGCCATATATCTATCGTTGTAGTATCAGACAGAGTAATTTCGCTGTCCTAAAAGTCCTTTGTGCTCTGGTATTCATTCATTTCCCTATGTAACTCCTGGCCACCTCTGATCTTTTAGTGTTTCCATGATTTTGCCTTTTCCAGAACGTCATATACTTGGCATCATAAAGTATGTAGACTTTTCACACTGACTTCTTTCACTTAGTAACATGCATTTAAGGTTTCTCTGTTTCTTTCATGTCTTGACAGCTCATTGTTTTAGTATTGAATAATATTCTCTTTTCTGGATACACCATAGTTTATTTATCCATTCATCTTCTGAAGGGCATTTTGGTTGCTTCAAAGTTTTGGTAATTATGAATAAAGCTGCCATAAGTATCCCTTTGGAGGTTTTGGTGTAGACATGTGTTTTCCACTACTTGGATAAATACCAATGAGGAAAACTGCTGGATCATATGGAAAGAATATATATTTTTTAAAGTTGCCAAACTGTGCTCAAAGTGAGTGGACCATTTTGCATTCCCACCAACAATGAATGAGAGTTCTTTTTTGTTTATATCCTTGCTAGCATTTGTTTTGTCAGAGGTCTGGATGTTGGCCATTCAAATAGGTGTATCGTGGTATCTCATTGTTGTTTTAATTTTCATTTCCCTGATGCCATGTGATAAAGAACAAATTTTCATATGCTTATTTGCCATTTACATATTTTCTTTGCTGAAATATGTGTTAAAGTCTTTTATCCATTTTTCTTGGTCAGACTGTTTTCTTATTGTTGAAGTTTAAGATGTTTTGCATAACAGTTCTTGATCAAATATGCGTTTTGCAAATATTTTCGCCCAGTCTGTGTTTTGTCTCCCATTTTCTTGACATTGCATTTCATAAGAGCATAACTGTTAAATTTTAGTGAAGTGCAGCTTATCAATAATTTTTTTCCAGAGAACATACCTGTCTTTGTATAAATCATTGCCAAACCCAAGGTCATCTAGATTTTATCCTACGTTGCCTTCTTGGAGTTTTGTTTTGCATTTTACACTTACATCTATGGTTGCTTTTTGAGTTAATTTTTGTGAATAGTAGAAGGTCTGTGTCTAGAGTCTAGATTAATTTTCTTTCCTTTTTCTTTTTTTGCCTATGAATGTCCAGTTATTCCAGCACCATTTATTGACAAAACTGTCTTTACTCCATTGTATTGCTTGTGCTCCTTTGTCAAAGATTAGTTGACTACTTTTATGTGGGTCTATTTCTGGGTTCTCTATTTTGTTCCACTGATCTATTTGTTTATTCTTTTGCCAGTGTCATGGTGTCTTGATTATTGTAGCTTTACAGTAAGTCTTAAAATCAGGTATTGTCATTCATCTGACTTTATTCTCCTATAAAACCTTTTTTTTTCATAATTCTGGGTCCTTTGCCACTCCATATAACCTTTAGAATGAGTTTATCAATATTCACAAAAAATTGCTGGGATTTTAATTGAGATTGCATTGAACCTACAGATTAAATTGTGAGGAATGAACATTTTGACGACATTGAGTCTTCCTACTTATGAACATGTCATCTGGGAACAAAGTTATGCTTCTTTTTTCCCCAATCTGTATACCTTTTTTTTTTTTTACTTATCTTATTGCATTAGCTAGGACTTGCAGTATGATGCTGAAAGGGAGTGGAGAGAGGCCCATCTTTGCCTTGTTCCTGATGTTAGTAGGAAAGCATCAGTTTTTCGTCATTATGATGTTAGCTGTAGATTTTTGAACATATTATTTATGAAGTTGAAAGAATTCCACTCTATTTCTAGTTCACCAAAAGTTTTTATCATGAATGGGTGCTGAAATTTGTTAAATGCTTTTTACGCATTTATTGATAAAATCATGATTTTTCTAGAGACTTGAAAAGTTGGGAAGTTTATATAGCCCATACACACAGGCTCACTAAAAGACTGAGAACAAATTGTGGGCCTATAGAACACTTCCTCTCCCCTCACACCTTACCACCATAGCACTAACAGCCTATTTACAGCAGTTCCTTTTACCAAGTACGTCATGTCTGACTGTCAAGAAAAAAATTACAGGGCATATTAAAAGGGAAAATACAATTTGAAGAGACAGAAAAATCATCAGAAAAACACATCAGGGTTGCTGGAATTATCAGACCCAGGAATTTGAAACAAATATGCCAACAACTCTGATAATGAAGTAGAGAGCATGCCAGAACAGATGGGCAATGTAACAGAGAGGCAGACATCGTAAGAAAGAACCAAGAGAAAAAACGCCGGAGATCAAAATACTGCAACAGAAATGAAGAATGTCGTTGGCTGACTTGTTAGTAGACTGGACATAGCTGAGGAAAGAATTTCTTAATTTAAATATATATCAGTAGAAACATCCAAAACTGAAAAAGCAGAGACTAAAAAAACCCAGAAAAGAATATCTAAAAATATTCAAAAACTGTGGAACAACTATAAAAGTGTACTATACATGTAATGGGAATGTCACACGGAGAAGAGAGATAAATTAACAGAAAAAATATTTAAAATAACGATGGAGAATTTCTCCCAAAATAATGCCAGATACCAAACCACAGATCTAAGAAGCACAGAGAACACTTGGTATCATAAATGCCAAAACTCCCCCAAACCTTAAGCATACCATTTTCAAACTAGAAAATCATAGATAGAGAAAATATCTTGAAAGAAGCTGGCAAGGGGTGGAGTGGGGGAAGTGCCTTACCTATACAGGAACAAACATAAGAATTACATCCAACTTCTCTTCAGAAATCATGCAAGGAGGAGAGAGTATAGTGAAATATTTAAAGTGTTAACAGAAAAAACCACCAACCTAGAATTCTGTACCCAGAGAAATTATCTCTCAAAAGTGCAAGAGAAATAAAGACATTTTCAGACAAAACTGGGGATATGTGTTGCCAAGTAGCCCTGCCTTACAAGAAATGTTAAAAGTTCTTTAAAGATAAAATAAAGTTCAGGTTTCTTCTATGGCAGACTTGTATAAATATGAATTCTTTCAAAATATAAATATATAAATAAAAAGAAACCTTGAGTAAGTCTCAGTTCAACTACAGA